TGTGGCCATGCCCATCCCGCACGCCTGGCCCTGCTGCCCTGCCGCTGCGGAGCGCTGAGCGGAGAAAGGGTTGGGGGCCGCACCGCCAGCCTTGGGAGGCAAGCAGAGGGGCTGAGGCACCGGCTTAAGGGGAGGCAACGTCCCTGTGCAGTGGCTTGGCCAAAGGCATGGATGCAGCCATGTGGTACTGGACACCTTCCAGGCAGGCAGCATGGAGCAGAACATGCTCTTAGCTGCTGTGTCTGGGCTCAGAGGGCTGCCCTTTTGGCCCTGAGACTGAGGGGCTGGGGCAGTGTGGGCATTTGCCTCAGTGCCGCCAGGGGAGTCGCGGCCAGGGGGTGGAAGGGTTATCTGTGGGGCTGGAGTCGCGGCCAGGAGGTGGAAGGGTTATCTGTGGGGCTGGGCCCAGCAAGCACAGCTGAAGAATGGACCCCTGCTGGAGAGTGGGGCTCCGCTGCACCCCATCATCACCATGCAGGGGCTTCAAGGCCTCTCCCTGCTGCAGGGGATAAAGACACAAACAAGCATGAAGAGCTAGTGCTGCCACAGTGCCTGGCTGGCCTGTGGAGCGTGCAGCCAAGGGCGAGGAATGCTGGTAGGAGCCATTCTGTGTGGTGGTGTGAGGGCCATAGAGCTATGGGAGCAGGCAGTGCCAGGGCATGGCTGTGGCTTTGCCATTTCCTAGCTAGGGCTAGGGCTCAGTCCTGACACATTCAAGCTGTTCGTAGGGGAGCTGCTGAGCACCTTTGGAGCAGTGCAATGCCTGTGCTGCCTGGAGGAGATAATGTAGTTAGGCCAGGCAAGGTCTCAGTGGAATGCGTGCTGCAGAGCTCACCACTGCTCTGGAGACAACCCTGGCTTCAGCAGTGTCATATCCCACTCCTGGCTCCTTCTGTCTCATGTGGGTATGGTATGGTCACTGCTGATGCTTCTGTTCCTGGAACTGGCCCAGTGGCTTGCACCAGGTTGGCTGATGTGACACAGTCCTGTTGGAAAGGGCTGCCCCTAAATGCCCAGAGCTGGTGGACTGCTGGCGCACTGTCATGTGCCCAGTCTGCTCATGAGAGGACAACATGAGCCATCGACTACTCTGGGACTGATGAAGAGGTGATGTTTGGACTGTGCTTATTTGCTCCCCAGAGCCTGCAGGCAGAAGTCTCTCGCTGGGTATCTGCACTGCTCTATCGATGGCTGAGGCCAGGTCTTGCTGGTGGTAGAAGGGAGCAGAGTGATACCAGGAAGCTCTTTGCTGCAGAGATGGCAACTAGTGCCCTGGCTGCTGCTCTCTCTCTGTGCTCTGCTCTGTCACTGAGCTGGGGTGCTGGCTCTGCAGCCCAGGACTCAAACATCACAGGATCCATTGTCTTCCAGGAATAAATCTCCCAGTAAAGCACTTTCAGGACTCTTCCTTCCAGGTGCTGCTCAGCTCCTGCTGCATGCAGGGCTAGGTGGGAATGGGGCAGGATAAGCGACTCCCTGGGGCAGGGTCTTTTCAATAAAAGCATCCTGGCTCAAAGGCAGCATCGTTCCTGTTGAGTTGCAGGTTTGTGTGTGCACATGTACCAGCACTTCTTGAACATATGTGTTTGGTCTAAGGTCATCTTGCACACCTCTCTGACCCTCAGTGGCATGGCAGTGCTGCAGGCTGGGCCACGTCATGCTGCCCAACAAGCTGCAGTTACAGGTTGTTCCACTGAGGATAGCATCATAGCTGCTTTCTCTGCACCAACAAAACACACTGCAGAGAGCAGAGCCACTCTGGCAGCTGGGCCAAGAAGAAGGATAAAGCCAGATCCCAGCAGGCTGCTGACTGGAAGGGGCTGTGTTGACTGCCCAGCTCACCCTAACAACCCCAATAACATCTCCAGGTTGCTCTGTACAGTCAGCTGTGGGAGGAAAGGCATGAGCCCGTAACTCAACATACAAAACCACAAGTGAGAACACCAGCGTGCAGCTCTTGCCTGACCTGCAGGGACCCGAGCATCTGCCTACTGCAGTCACTGGGAGACCAGCTCTGCCACTCCAGGCTGCACACAGACTACTGCTCAGCTGGGCTGGCAGTGTCACCAGCCTTAGAAGGGAAGATGTGCTGCAATGTGATAGGAACCCAGCAGCAAGCTCCTCAGACAGAAGGCAGCTACAAACTGTTAACTTGCTGGAGAAACTAGACATGCTGCTGGCTGCAGCCTCCCCTCTCTATCTGAGGAAGGAAACCAAGTGCATGCCTTGCCCATGTGTCCAGGCCACAGCCAGGTGGGCAGCAAAGGCACGTCAGAGCAGAGCAGGCACATGGGGGGAAGAGGTTGAAACCTACTGGCACAAAGGGGGCTTGTGTCATCCCTGGCCTCAGCATCATTAGCTGTCAGCTCATCAGTGTAGATGACAGTCACAGGTTCTCAAGACAGATCAGTCCAGCACAGCCTGGACCAGCTCTCCCCAAGATAACAAAGAACACCCTGGGCTCCAGCAGCCTTCCATGCAGGGGAACCTGCTCCCTCAGGGCCAGCAACAGAGGAAGACAGGAAGGCATGGGAGCTCCAGGGCAGCTGCAGTCTCCATGAGCTCAGGGAACAGCCCAGCACAGCACAGCAGACACACAGTACCTTGGCACACCTGTGCATAGCACCCCATCCAGCACTCAAACCCAAATCACAATGGTAAAAAAATCACTTTATTTCCCTATAAGGGCATAGCTTTCCTTTAAAAACCAGCTCATTTCCCTCGTGAGACGGTGCGGGGCTGAACAGCGGGGGCAAGGCCTTCCTCACTCACTCCTCCAGGCCAAGAGCTATTGCTCCCCGAGGGTCACGCATGCTGAGCAAATCCTCCACCATCTCCAGGGGGGCTGCTCAGCTTCAGCTGGTTCCCAGCTGCCACCACGAGGAGCAAGGTGGGAGAAACAAGCAAGGCAGGTGAGACAGTGCAATCCAAGGCACACTGGCTGCATCTTGCAGGCTTGGAGCACTTGGGGTGGCTCTGCATGCACTGGGAGCAGGCAGAGCGAGGAGCATCGGTCCACCAGCCTGAGCTGGGAACAGCTGCAGCTTGAGGCAGTTCATGCAGGCAGAAAGCAGGACAAGGAGCGGGTGTCACAGTCTGTGCACTGCATGGCAATGGTGCCAGCAGACCCCACGCCTGGTGGGGAGTGGCAGGAGCAGGCACTGTCTGGCCCAGAAGCAGGCACAGGGTGAATCCTGAGTGGCTGGTCCATGGTTGCAGAGATCTGCCTTAGCCCAGGGAAGTTTTGGGGCCAGCAGTCTTGGGGTGACCTGTGGGGAGGTCTCCAACCCTTGCCAGCCCCTTCCAGCTGTCTGGGGGTTGCCCCAAACGGTAGCACAGTAGCTGTGCAGTAGGCGAGCTCACTCTGGGCACAAGAGGTACTGACTCTGAAAAGCAAGAGAAAGGAAGACCTGGTCCATGAGGTGTGTGGTTGGGAAGCCAGCGCAGCCTGGGAAGGGAAACAGGCCTTCCCAGGTAACCCATCAGCCCTCTACCCCTGCAGAGGCCATGCTGGGGGATGTGGCAAAGCAGCACTGAAGGAAGGAACTTACCTGCTAGGCTGTGGGCTCCCCTCCCCAGCTCCTCCGTGCTGCTTTGAAAGAGAAGAGAGCACCCATCATACCCCAAGCAAGGCCTGCTGAGAGACACAGCATGCTCATGACCCTGACAACACAGGCATGGTGCAGCAGCACCCCCACACAGGTCCTCACCCACTTGCTACCAAACCTTTTCCCTAAGCCAGCCTATCCTGAGACTGCAAAGCCACATCTTCCCACCAGGAGCTCCCACATATAACGGGCTGCCACTTCACACAGCCACATACAAAGCTTAATCTGTGCACACACTGGTTCCTGGCTCACACCAGCTCAGCCTGGGCTCAGCCCTGTGGTGCCACAGAGAACAGCCACAGTGGAAGAGGCCTTTCACACCCATCACCACAGGCACTTCTGCAAAGACAGAATCACACAGAATAGTTTGGGTTGTAAGGGACCTTCAAAGTTCATCTAGTCCAAGCCCCCTGCAATAAGCAGGGACATCTTCTTCAACTGGATCAGGTTGCTTGGACCTACAGGTTAATCCTCCACTACTGGACTGGTACCACCAGCTCCTCCCAAACACAGGACAGACACCAGCAAGCTCAGCTCCATGCCCTAGCCCACACAGAAGTCAGCATGACCAGGCCTCCATCCTGTCCCAAGCTCCAGGGGCACACCTCTCCTAGTCCCTCTAGAGAAGCATGTCTGGACAGGCTGGCCTCTGCAAAGAATGGCAGAAACAGAACAAGTAACATCTGGGTACATTCTGAGGGTCAGCATCTGTCCCCCACACCTCCACTGCAAAAGCTGAACTGCAAGATCTGCCCCTCCCCAGCCCAGCCCCCTGTTCAGCTGACAGAGGCAGAGAAAGCAGCAGGAAGCTCCCCATTGCCTCCATGCAGATTTCTTCTATGCTCCCACCGTGCCCATGGCCCCAGCAGCTCCCCCTGCATGGGCAACAAAGAAGGAAACAAGACAGGGTTTATCAGAGAGATGCTTGAACACAAGCAGCAGCTCACCACCTACCCAGATAAGGTTTCAACGATGTTATCATCTTCTTCCTCCTCTTCCTCCTCCTGGCAAGCAAACAAACAAACCAAAAAAACCCACCATGACACCTCAGTGCCTGGATAGGTTGCTGCTAGGAGTGAGGCTGGTCCACCCAGAGCCTGTTATGGAGCAGGAGAGCAGTCCCTGGTCCCTTCACAAGCCACAGTCACCCACCAGGCATGGCACAGATAAAGGGCATCTTTGCCCAGACAGTAGTGGG